AATATATACCTGTAAATTAAGATTTAAGAAAAGCTTTGACAATAAACGTATTGAATGTTCGTTTGAAGGTAGAAGGCTGTTTGGATTTTTTCTGCTTGTAAAAGAAATTGATTTGAGCTCCAGTGGTAGATTTGGAAATCTTTTTGCCATTATCCATTAACAATACTGTATGGCCTTGTTTATTTGTTATACTTTTATGTACTTTGAAATCGATGCTCTTTGTTCCACCGGCTATGAATAGGAGCAGAAAAATGTTTTAATTATGTTGATGCCATATGGTGTTGCTGAACATGCATCGAGAGTTTAAATTGTTTGCTTACATTTCTACTTTTAAATTTGGGTTGGTCTGATGGCTTCTTTTCTGCGCTTCAGTTAAGGAGCATTAGGGAATGGCTCATAATTGTATAGCTGTAACAGAGCGGTAATGGGTAGACTTGTGCATCAGTTAGTTGATAGTCGTCTATGAAAGTTTTGCTTCTGTGCCTAAATTTGGCAATTTTTTTTTTTGAGCTAGTAATAGTAGATGTTATTTATTTTGGTTGCATGTGAGTAATAAACCTCTGCGGGGGTGTCTAGAGATGATATTGATGAGGGTGAGATTACTGAGCCATTCTGGGTATGCAGTGTGATCACCACGTTAATTTTCTCTGCTTGGTGCAGTGCCAATCCTTAATTGAAGAATTGTCGGTCTCCCACTCGACAGATTTACAGCAACGTGCATATGAACTTCAAGCACTCATTGGCTTAGATGTTCGCGCAGTTGAGAGTGTCATGCCATCAGATGCCAGCTGTGAAGACATTGAGGTGGTCCTTGATTAGGGAACTTAAGCATGTCTAATTTCATTATTGTGTTGCTATGCATGCTTGTTTGTGTGAGTCATGCTCATACAATGATTGATTCTTCGTCTCTCTATGGGTCTTCCTTTATTTCCCTTGCATTAGAAAAGATGCCCCGAACTATGTAAGCAACAGTTTTACCTTCAGTTATGGAAGTATCATTTGGCACAAGATAGATTATTTCAGTTCTCTGGTGATGCTAGAATTCTCGTTTTGTTATCCTTGAATTATTTATTGAACTGCTTATTTTCTACAAGGAGTTGTTTGTTCAAGATATGATTCATCCAGTTAGAAACTTATAGTATACTCATTAAACCTGTATCGAACTAATTTGCTTGTACTTGATTTCGGCCAAATTTTCTTGGGCCTCCGATTTGCACATGGAGACTTGAAGAGTACTCAAATTAGTTTTGCGGGATTTAGGTGCAAATTTGAAATTTATGTGGGCAGAGCAATCATAGTATATGTATTTGTTTACTCGACTTATAGGAGTTGTCTGCTACTTTTTTGGCTTCAATGGTCGCTTATCGATACAGACATTTTTTTTTCATCTTTGAGGGGCACTTGATAGTGTCAAATGAAATTCTAGACGAGTCCCCTGTGCTCTTGTCATTCAGTTAATTTTGCTTTTGTTTATCATCTTTCTTCCCCGCTGGCACCTCTCATTGCTCATATTATCTCACTAAAGGAGCAGTATGTATACGTACATACATAGGTTTGTCCTTTCCTTTTCTCGAGTTTCGATTATAAAATTTCCTTTACCAATGCAATGCTGTCAACTCCATTCGTTAGAACAGCTCCTATCGAGTTTCATGACCGATCAATAGGAATACTCCATTTGTATTACTTACACTTAGTGAATCTTTGCGAATGTTTTGCCACGTCTAATGTAATATTCCCCTTTTGACAATTTTTTTCCATGTGCCATTATTCATCTGCGTATTAGCAAGACACAAATATTCATTTGTAGTAGTTATACAAACACTATAAGTTTTTATTTTTTTCGTGCTTTGCATTGCTGTAGTTTTCAGGACTGGTTGTCTAATTGGGTCATATTCCTGGCACTATAGCATTAATAAACTTCTCTTTTGAGATATTCATGGGGGCTATTTTTGCAGATTGATAAAAGTCTCACCTTCCTCAACCATTATGTCCAAGAATCCTTGGAGAAAGGTGCCCAGCCTTATATTCCCGAAAGTGAGCGCACAGGGATGCTTAACATCAGCAGCTTTAGAAATGAAGACCATCATGAAGTGTCCATGCATGGTCTTAGATTTGAAGCTTACGAGCTTCCCAAGCCCGTGGTCCCTTCAAAATCTCCAGTTTCTTACACACCCTCGACAGAGCTCGTTCCAGTTCCTGAGCCATCTTATTCCAGGGAAGTCCACACTTCCACAGCAGTACCATCAATATCAAGTTCAGGATCTACAGAACTCAAGCTACGGCTTGATGGTGTTCAGAAAAAGTGGGGCAGGCCAAGTTATTCCTCTGGGTCAACATCCACCCCGGAATCCTCATCGCAGAAAACCGTGAATGGAGTTGTGCAGGCCGAAAGTGTAAGTACGTCCACGTCAAGAGCACAGGCCACCTCTTCTTTTGACTTAAAGAAGCCTCAGGTTGAAATTTCGCCAGAGAAACAGAAGCTCGCAGCTTCACTTTTTGGTGGTCCATCGAAAACTGATAAGAGACCGACTTCCAGTAGTCATAAGGTTGTGAAATCTAGCAGCCACACCACAGAAAAGCCCTCTGTTGCCAAAGCCGCAGACACTGCATCAGAGAAATCAACAACTCCTGTCCAACCGCCTCCGGATTTGCTTGATTTGGGTGAACCCACTGTTACAAGTAGTGCTCCATTAATAGATCCATTCAAACAGTTGGAAGGACTTCTCGACCAAGGAGAAAACGTCTCAGCTACAAATCATGGAGTAGTCAATGCCAACAAAGCGCCTGATATAATGTCACTTTATGCAGAAATTGCTGCAAGTGGGCAAAGTGGAGGTGCTGTGAATCCTGTTCCAACTAGTGGAGATGATATGTTGAGTGGCTTATCGGGCATCAGCAACAGAACTGTTTCTCCAGGAGGAGCTGCTGGATTGTCTCCATTGAGCAAGGGCCCTAACCTTAAGGATGCCTTGGAAAAGGATGCTCTTGTCAGGCAGATGGGCGTGACACCTACTAGTCAAAACCCGAACTTGTTCAAGGATTTGCTCAGCTGAAACGAGTCATGTGAAAAAGATTCTCTGCTCAGGTTTTTCTGGTGATAATTGCATCTTGCCGCGCAATGCACATGATAATTGTTTTTTAGCGGGCAGCAGAGGTATATTGGCGATACACGCGTTGACATTCCGAGCAATATTTCAGAAGCAAAACCAAGGTATGCGAAAGTTCGGAGTTGATTCAACCTCGGAAACCCTGTGTTGAAATCCGGTTCAAGGTCTGTATTCTTTTGCAGGACATTGTAGAATTTTGTAGGATAAGTTGGATTTGGTCATGTAAATTGGAGTGTTACCTCCGGCAGATTGGTCGGAGAATTTCTCTTTGAATGCTTACCTTCGGAGACATCGAGAGTTAGCTCTGCACATTGTCTGGGTTGTTCCTCCCTTGAGTCATGTGGCTGTTAAAATTATTTACCTGTACAAGGGGCAATATCTTGTATTCCACATTCAGATACTACTTTCCTTCCCTTGTATATGCGGACATGTACACATTCGCAGAGTGAGTTGCGGTTCTTTCAAGCGCAAGCAGGGGTTCGCTTGGCCGAGTTTGAGGTTGTCTGACCTGTTTTCTCTCTTACAAGACAAACATTCCATGGTGATTGTTATTGTTTTCCTTCTGGTTTTATGCTAAGTGCAGGCATACGGGAAAAGGAAAAAAACATCGAATGACCGACACATACGCACGTGCCTACAAACATGTCGCAAAGATGAACACGAAATTTAAGCTACCCAATCAAGCGTTGCGCAGCAGGGCTGGATGGGTTGTGGCAAGCGTAACCCAAATATTCTTTCCAAAGTTCTGCAACTGAGGGCATCATCCTGAAGAAATGGTTCATGAGTGTCATGCCGTAGTAAGGCTCTTTGACAGACATTGACTATGCTTCCTGGTCACTCCCGAATGGCCGGTCGAGTATTTTTTTTTTGGGGGGTCAAATCTGGTCGAAGAATTCAAGTGCTCGATTCGGACGAAGCAGATCCGGTGTTTAAATCACAGGTTTTTCCCTTGAACAGAGTAACTTTAGAGGCCGGGTCCGTGCAAACGCACAAGACTCGTATGAAGTCGAATGTTGCGGCCTGCATCGATCCATATAGACCGATGAAGTCGAATGTTTGGGTGTCCTAACCCGCCCCAACAAAGAAAACCGGAACGAAAATATTACCTATTGGAAAGGTGGAGTGGGGGCTTCTTTTGGGATCACTTTCAAATGAGAAAGGAGAACTTCATAGTGTATCGTGCAAACCCGACCCGACCCATTAAGTTCAACTTAATACTCTCAGTTTGATTTTGAACTTGATTTGCCTTAATTCACATATAATGAAACCGACCCAGCAAGCCAAAATGTTATCTTACATCAGATTCTTAAGCATGAAAAGTAATTCAATTGTAAATTGAGGTGAGCGATTTCAGGGTCGGTACATGTTTCACTTGAAAATTGAAACCTAACTTGTTGGGAACTGATTTTCAATTTTTGGAACCTAGAACTCAATATGTACACCGAACCTGCGGTTTTAGGGTCCACTTGGGAACCGGCTAGAGACAAACTCAGATAAATTTCGGTTTGTGCATTTCGTCGAACATGTAGTGAGCAATTCTGCAATCAATTTTGAACTAGTAAGGAGCGAAATGGCACTTCACGCATTTGACTCTAACAACATTACACCAACTAATTAAAACGAACATCGCCAATTGAAATTCAAGACCCGATCGCGACATTCATTTTTTTTTTTATAAATTATAAATTAGGAACAACTCCCAAAGGAATCATCAAGGTTAGCTCACAAGCTCGAGAGACGGAGGTGAAGTACATGTAGAGGTCGATATATTAATTTATTTACTTTTTCATGTATTTTTTAGCAATGAAGAGTTGAATACAACTCAAAAAAAGAAAAAAGAAAAAAGGAAAAAGAAAAAAGAAAAAAGAAGAAGAAGACCTTCTTCTCTACTTGTCCAAATCCAAAACCCAAAAACTGCTGCCATTCCCGCCCTTCGCACCTCTCTCTCATGGCGGAGAAAGGGAAGGCGGCGTCTCTCCCGGCGGGATCGGCGCGATCGAGGGTGGACAAGTCGTTCAAGCGCGCCCTTCTTCCTCTCCTCTCCACTGGCTCCATGGAGGTACTCTTCTCTCTCTCTCTCTCTCTCTCTCTCTCTCTCTCTCTGCCCGAACCTTCGCTACCTAGCTTAGCCAGCCCAGCCCTCCCTCCCTCCCGATCCCTTAGGGTCCGAAACCGATTGTCCCGGCCGCTTCCGTCCGATCGAACGGGTAGAATTTGGTGCGCGTTTGGGACCCCTTCAAGCGTCCGGGATCGAAGTCGTTCGGTACCCGATTTCGAAGCCGACATGTCGAATGTCATCCGTACAGTTGCGCGTGATGTTTTTTTCGATTCGTCTGAGCAGCGTTCATGAATGGAGCTGTCGCGTTACTTCGCCTCGGTGTCTGGACCCCGCCCGGGGGGGGGGGGGGGGAGGATGTCATAACTGCTTGCGAATGAGGAAAATTTTTGTTTTTTTGAAGCTCATGGCGACAGCCTCGGTGTTTTTTTCGCATTTTTTCCCGAGCTTCTACTAAATGGGAGCTGAGCGCTGAGCAGTTCAGCTCCGTTCCGGCGTTTTCATGTTACGGCAGTGTCCTGTGTTCAAGTCCTTTTGGAAATGGGTCGAGAACTGTTTGGAGTTTTTCTGCTTTTTGTTCGTCGCTGCGGAAGGGTGGATGTTCTGCCTTTCCAAATGATGGGAATGGCGGAAAGCAGTGCCGGTTAAGCTGCCTCACTGGTCCGTTTAAGTTTGGGATTCTTGATGCAGATCTTTCGACAAAAATTTTAGTAACCTACGATTGAAATCCACCCCAAAGTTGAATAAAGATTTGTAATTATCATCCAATATGTTCGTTCAGAGTGCATACCTCTTCGTATTAGCATGAACTAGAAGTTAGTGCAAGTACGAGAAGATCTGTACGACCTCCAAACTTGAAAGTGATAAGACGGTGATCTGCTTGGATTTGAAACTAAACTGTGAATTCCCAATTTTTTCCTATTATTGATTGGTCCTAGATAGTTGATTTTTGTTGGGTACACCCTGTTGTCAAAACAGAAGCTTATGTGGTACTCTTCTTTGATCTTTCCCTTTTCTTTCGTTTGACAAGTTGATATCTAATTCTGTTCGATATATAGACGTGTGTATCTGATATCTAAGGCTCTTGTAAAAGTTCGCCAAAGTGAGTGGATGTGTTTCTTACTAAGGTAAATAGGGGAACTATTGCATTCAGATGCGTGTAGGACTAGAAGTTCGTTTAAATTGATTACGTTGAGGCTGTTTTGCATTTATAATTTTTCTTTACGTTAACTTCACAGGAGATCCGCAAAGCCTTTCCAAGTTTTTCAAGTGATGACCAACAACGTCTCCAGCAGTTATTCATCAAGGTGCAAAGGCTGTCTCGTACTTGACAAAGCTTATTAATATACTTGTCTTCACAAAAAAGCAATGTACAAAACTTTGAGAAGCAGGTATCTCTCAAGATATGAACATAATAAGATTGCCAAGGTCATGCAATAGTTGCAATCTAGATTTGTGAGAGGGTCTAATTATTCCAGCCTAATATAATAATGGTGATTTTCTAGGATCATTACTAGATTGAAAGGTGGATACTATCTCCAAGAAATTATTGGGCTCGTGTACACAACTATTCAATTCTTCTTTACTCTCCGTGTTTCACTAGATATGAACCGTATGTACTCTGTCTTCTTGCTATTTAATTCCAGCAATTTCATCCAACCATATTGTAACACGACGTGTATCGTTTCCTTCTTGAAAAGGAATTCTGTCACCCGTATTGCTAGCATCAGTTTTTTTGTTGGCTAGTATCTTGATGGTCCTGTGTCTTCTTGGCACTTGTCAAAGTGTCGATCAAGAATAATACTAAAGCTAAAAGAATGGTTTGACGACAAAATGGAGATGGGCGACTGCCATTTGCAGGAGAGGCATTTAAGAACATATATTTGATTCTGTGTAATTTATAAAATTGCTGTATCTTTCGTTGGATGCATTTCCTGTACTTTTGAAACTTAACTATCGACTTTGTATGTAAATTTTTGACAGGTTATTACTTCACTGCATGGACACATAGAGGTAAGTTTGTTATTACGGATCTGTAGTTGTGGCCTGGTGCTCCTGTTAAAGCTAATGACGTTCTTGGAGAAACTTATGAGAGGAAGGAAGAGGTGTATATTATCAGCGAATGTGTATTGCTAGATACTTCAGTTTATTCAAACTCATGTTCTTGTGGCAGTAGTTGCCTTGTTCTTTTCACATATAAGCAAATCAAACTTTCATGTGTTCTGTTCTACTTAATCTTTTCCTTTTTCTTCTCCTCTCGTTCATGATTTAGCATTTGGAAAAAAAGAGTATGATGCCAATAAATGACAGCAAAAAAGGTTCCAAAGTTATACCGTTTCACCATTTGCACAACATGCCTGTTGCTCTGCCCTTTTCCCAGTCTCGACTATTTTTGTTGATTCGTTTGTTCTTCCATTGAGACTCCAACCTCTGATCCTCTAGGCATCTCCTAAGGATTCTTCCCCATGTTCTTTGGTGCTAGGCTCAGTTTTTTTTTTTTGAATGACTCATTATTCAGCAAATGAAGCAGCATCCTTGTTATGTAGAAAATGGTCAGCGTTTGCTGTATATTTGGCTCATTTGTCTGCTGGCAATGTGAAATAGGGATCATTTGCCTTATGCACATAGTATGTAGAGAGTACACAACATTGTAAATGATTTGTATTGCATGCTAGTACGTTGAATGTGAACATTGACCATCTATTATCATTATTTGCAGGATGTTTTTGAATCACTCTGTGATGAAATGAAGGTACTTTTGTTATCCTGTTAATGCCATTGACGTGTCCAGATTTTTATTTGTGGGATTCCTACCTCAATTTTTGCATGTAGCCTAATTTCCATGTCAGCAAATAATCTTATTTAGAATGGGACAAGGATGACAAATGGAGGTAGAGTTTTACTGAGTAGGACATGCATTCAATTTGGGGATTTCATTAGTGTCTGGAAAAAGAGTTTGGTTATGGTTTGTGCAAGGAAATCAATTATGCGCGCAGTTACACATAGAGAAGTTGATGCTACCTGTGCTTTCCCTTGTGCTTTCCTATGCTTTTGGGTCATTTGGACATAAAACTGTCTTTTATAATCTAGACGGCTGATAATGGTTTTCAGACTTTCCATTCCATAAGGATTGTGAGATTTTTTTTTCTTGCTAGCGCCTCAAGAACATTACAATGTGATTCTTATGTATTCAGCTTCGCATGTCATGTCTCGCTATATTTGCAGGTGGGAACAGTTCTGGATACTGTGGAACAACTTGTTGAGGAACAGAGTCTAGACCTTCTGAAGTCAGATAAGTATGTACCAAGTTGTTATGGAATAACCATAATATTATGTATATGCCTACGGTAACAATTAGGAAATTATTAATTTTTCTCAAAAATATCTATTTTAATTTTTATGATTAAATCATTAGACAGAAGCATCTAATCTCCAATGATTGGTGATATATAATGTGTTACGCGGTTGAACTAAATGATCATTAGGCTTGTATAATGGTAGGACTTTGTACTTGATGAGCCTGTAAGGAGTTTGAGAAGCTGTCCATGTTCGTGCGGCATAATGTATGTTTTACTGAGTCATCGTCCCTTCCCCATCCTCTTGTCCTCCCCATGAAGATTTTATTCACCATGTTAGCTTTTGAAACCTGCCAATCTGGAGTGGTTTCTATACTGATAAATTGCCCTTTTGTGCTTACTTTTGTTGAAGATTATGTGTGGCCAGTATCACTTATGATTTGGGCACATGCCTATCTTTGATTTTGAGGCCTTTTATTGGTAATAGAGCGTGCTCACGAGCCCATATTCATTTTTAGCAATTAATCTGATGTAGATAGACAATTTGCTTGACGATGAAGTCCTTGTTGAGGGGCTTACTGCAAGTATACTAATTCAATTGGATCGCTAAAAGTCTCTTTACAGTAATGCTTCTTTTCTAACTTAGCAATAGCGAAGTACTTTATATCTTGGTCCTATAATGTGTTTTTGTCCGAGTACAGCACAAACGTATTGGACATCGCAAGAGATTTGTCAGTGTCGAAGAAGAACGAGATTCAGCACTTGAGCGAAGTGCTGGAAAAGGTATGTTACAATTACACATACAGCCTTATTAGGTTTTTAGACAGGCAGGAAAGAGGAAACTGTATAAATTGTGACAATGTCATCAACTAATATTTTGGCTAGGAAGGATTATTTAGTTCATTTCATTATTCATTTTTTTAAAATCTTCTTATTTTGACTGTACTATAGATGGCGGCCTCTTTAGAATCAAGTTTATCAAGGTTCACAAGAATACTGTTAGGGGATGTTTTGAACTACTTAGTGACCACATCTAGTATTCATGCTGTGGTACATGGAATCTGATTAGTTAACGGTCATACCTTAAGACCACATCATAAGATGATTTGCCTGGTTTATGTCTACTGCGACCTTCTAGGTACTACTCGCTATTGTTGTAATAAGTAAGCGTGGTGCCTTGATGCCTTGATTCTGTATATTTAGGGGAGGGTGGAACTCCTCATGGTTTGCCCAAATTATATGGCATACTTCAGAAACCTATGTTTTACCCCCTAAAATGTGTTTAATACTTTGTTATGTTTGTTCAAATGGATTCAACAAGTCATTATAAGCACCGTGACTCTAACCCTTTCGATATTTTGATTCTACCTACATACAAGGAACTTACAATATTGCGATAGAGATATTTGACAGTAACTAAAGCGTAGGCATTTAATGGTATTTTAGTAGGACGAGAGTATAGCGGATGGACTGGAGTCTAATGCTTAGAACTCGAAATGAGATGGTGCATCATTCCAACACCAGGATATACGTAACTAAGCAAGTACATACTGCCAGACGTTTGAAAGTTGCCTCACCATGGAGTTACGAAATTGTATATGTGGAACATGAGAAAACCAAAAAATACCTTTCTCACTTTTCCATAGAAGGATCCGATCATCATGGAGGGAAGAAAAAGCTTTAAATCTTTCAAGATAATTGGCTTCTGTTTAGATCTAGTAGAAAGTTTAGATGTTCTTATTGAATGAACTAGCTTGTGCTTGTTTATGAAGATGGTTTCGTGATTTTTTCTTTTGTCAGAAATACGGTTTTATAATTGATTTACTTGTTTCTGACACCTTTTTTATTAGGCTGAAGGGCATAATCTCCAAATCCGTTCTCGTCTGGAGCTGATCAAGAAAGGGAGACAACAATTATCTGTCACTGAAGATGCTCTTCAGAAGGTGTGATTAGGTCTCCCCTTTCTTCTACAGTTTAAATTTGTATCTAGTTCCTTTTAAGCTTATTAAGGTAACATTGTGAAGCTGTTGGATTAATGCAAATCGAGCAGTTGATGAGTGAGATGCAGAGTTACAAGACATTCAGCAGTTGAAGGCCCTTACATCGAGAAAACTCATAACTCCAATCGCTCTGAGGAAATTGCTCCAACTTTTGTGTTGATATACAACATTTGTACGAGTCAACAAGCTGAGTTATAATTTCTCCCCTGGCACTTCCTTTTGTTGTGTGAAAGAAAGTATGCCTTTTGGACCGACTGTATGATGCTATTGAAATACTGCGGGGCGGGAATTAAGCTTTCATATAGTATGTACATCCTTTTTGCTCCTTCACAATCCACATCATAGTTCTGTCGAAGGCGTTATCCAATGAAATAAGCACGAGGGAAGCTGCTTTGTTCAAACACCTTTGATTAGTATAAGTTAGAGGTATTAATTCTCGAATGAATTGTCGTGAGAGCTAGCAACCGAAGCGGTACGAAGTTTGGAAACTTGCCAGCTAATAATTTTCCTACTTTGATACGCCAAACAAAAACGATTGTAAGGATGCCCATCGTGGTGCAAAGAAGTTTGGCAACTCCCAAACACCATATGGGCAAAGCGGTACCAACATTTGGAAGCTTGCTGAAGCTAAAGTTTGCTTTAAAGGACAATGATTTTGCAGTTTAGGGAGATCACATGTTATATTGGGCAGAGGCCAGGAGGATTCTTGTTTCCTCATTCCAACTGTACAATGCAAGAAAACAAAATGGTCCTCTCTTTCCTATATCGAATGCCTAAAAGATGATTGACAGAACGAAAACACATGCAACAAACCGATTGAGGAAAGCGTTTCGGCGAAATGCAGTGGGCAAATACCGCGGCGTCGGATTCTAGAAAAGGTGGTCAGCCGAAAACAGCTATTTCCACGTCACTGGAATTTGAAGGAAGTTCATTCAATTGGAAGTCCTACGAAGAGATCAAACTCGCTCTAAACAAGCAACACGATCAATATGCTCCACAGGCTTGGATTTAGACGCTCACTCCTGAATTTTCCATCAACATCGACGCCTAACAATATACTTGACAGACATGTGGACTTCAGCTATCTTGAAAGAACTTGAAAGTCCCCTGGTCTGGTCAGCACTTTGGCTTGTGTTGGCAAGGTTGAACATTTTTCTTGACTGTCAACATTGAAACTTTTACTAATCTAGAAATCACCATGACATCACATGATAGAAGAGGCATCTGAATTCAATCAATGGAATATAAAAATATTAGAGTATCCCAGCAGAGAATCACAGCAAGGCATGCATGGTGTCCCAAGTCCATCAAATCTTTTCTAGCCTTGTTAACGAGGGGCAACCTACGATTCCAATTTTGACTTTCTCTCTCATGGATGATCTTGGTTTTCTAATCTCTTGCTTTTGTCTGGGGTCAGACAAAGAGGGGCCGAAAAATGACCATTTGTTGGTGTGTTATTCGGCCAACTGTCGAACAATGTGTGCCATATGTAATTTGTACAAATGGCAAAACTTTTTGGGGAGCTAGTCTGTTTGTTTATCAGAATCCGATAGCGAGTGAATCTGTGTGCAGATTCCCATGATAGGTATGAATTGACTAGCGTCTTCACGATTGCGAAGGCAAGTTGGGGTTTGGATGACTTGTGATCCGCATCCGAAACTGTTACTACGCCCGGGGGCCACGTCACTCCGCAGGAGGATTCAAAAACTTAGCCAAGGAAGACCTTTATACTGAGGGATCTCACTCACTATTCATGTTCGAAAGAGTCGGGAATAATTCCCCTGAGCTTTTGTGTAATATAATGACATAGTGCAATCGTAGTGAGCAAAGAAGCACTTTACAGGTCTTTCTTTCATTTCTCGAGTTTTCTTGGTGAGAAAATAGCTTCCCCCGAAGTTCCCCCGCTCTTGAATAATACGAAGTATTCGGTCTTAATCCTAGCCTCAATAAGACTGTTTTACGGGATAGCGTTACCGAAGTCCGAATAGCTCGGCTTCAATGCTTGGAGGCCATGCTGGCTCTCCGTTCTAAAATACAGAAACGGAATAGTGGGGCTAGGGAAGAATTATAACCATGGGAGTTAGACTTGAGTTTATACGTGACATTCTGTATTTTGGAGCTCAGAAGGCTGTATCCATTTGCGATCTATTTATGAGATTAGAAGCATTATAGTAGGAAGACAGCACCAGTCGATATATGGACTTTCTTTAGGGATGAAACTTAGAAGCTCGACTTGAAGGCCTTCCTCAAAACTAATTATCAGAGGAGCCCATACCTAAGGGAATTAGCATGTTGGTGGTTGATTAGTAAGAGTCGTTCTATCTATTGTATTGATCTCGCCGTAGCTAAATCTTTTCATCGAAAAATAGGATGAAAAACTACCAGAGGAAAGCGAAACTCTCGGAGCTTAGTATTAGCACTTCACTTTTGGTTCCTTAATATGAGGTCAGGGTAAAGTCGAACTATTAACCGGAGCCAATATTTGCTGGTTAGTGGCTTCTCTAAAACGAGCATTCACAAAGTGGTCCTCGCGGTCTAATGCGTATAATGTCTTTGATGTACAAATCTAATTTGGTTAAATCCCTTTCCTAGGTTTTAGATAGATTCTTTTTCGATAATGGTGTCAAGGGATTAAATGAACTCTGTCGTAAGAAAGAAGGACAGAGTCACCTCACAGTAATGATTTGATCACCTGGGGATAAACCTAATGATATGTGGCCCTATAGCCTAAACCCGCTTGCGCACTAGTATAGGTCTAGTCTATAATTTCAGGATTAAAACATTTTACAATTAAATAATACAACAGTTGTAAAGTAGAAAAAAAAGGATATGCTTGCTTGCTATAACTATAGTGCTTACCTTTACTTAAAAGGGAGGTACCCGTACATAAGGAAGGAATGAACTCCCCTAAATGAGACTACAGCTCCTTGTTAGCTGAATATCCTACCTTTTTGTGCTTGCTTGAAACTGTCTTATTGTTCATCTATAGCCTGATCTAGAACCCATTAAGAGAACCAATTACCTATACCAAACCAAATATCCAATGACATATAAACGGGAAAATTATCCAAAAAGTCCTAAACCTATTGCATTTTTGCCAATTTAGTTCTAAACCTTTCAAGTTTGCCAATTGAGTCCTAAACCTTTTCACTTCTTGCCAATTGAGTCCATTCGGCCAATTTTGGCCGCCTGGAGCTGACGTGGATGCCGGCCGTTCGGCCAACACTGACGTGGCAATTTTTAAATATTTTTTTCGAATAATTTTTTTATTTTTTTTCCAAATTTTTTTTTTTTGGCCTTCTTTCCTCTGGCCGGCGAGGTCGACCTTGCCGGCCCTCGCCTCTGGCTGGTTGCTAGTCGTCGGACCGGCCAGAGGGAAGAAGTCAGAAAAAAAAGAAAAAAAAAGATTAAAAAAATTTAAAAAAAATTTAAAAAATTACCACGTCAACATCGGCTGGTCAAATTGGCCGGATGGACTCAATTGGCAAGAAGTGAAAAGGGTGTTGAGGTTGATGTCTTGTATTCTGTTATTCAAGATCCTTATGAGGCGGTTCCGAAAGGCCCCTTGACGACTGGACAGCACGGGGGTCCCGCTCCGGTGGGGGTCGTGGGGGCAGTGCCCCCGGGCCGCCAGAGGCGTTTTATGTTCACTCATAGAAAGATTTATATGGGAAAGCTAAATATTTTAGGCTATGTGGGCAATTTTGTAATTTGTGCCATGTAGGGTTTCGCTATATATATTTAGGGCGAAACGGGTCTCTAGAATAGAGGCAGGAGGTGAGAAAGAGTGGCTGTACACTTTTCCACGTTATTAGTGAAACGGATCTTTTCTCCCCATGGACGTAGGTAGGCGGAACATCTCCCCTGCTGAACCACGTAAATTCTTGTGTTGTGCGAATTTTCATTACTTTCTTGCATCGTTGATAGGATCGAATTTAGATATTCGACAAAGGGTAAGGACTGGATTGGCAAACTTAAAAGGTTTAGAACTTTTTGGACAATTTTCCCTATAAAACACTCAGCACCCCAACCCTACTCCTGCCTGAAAGCATCTACCATGTTCCTATATAGACGCTTTGATAATGTCGCTAGTAAAGCAAGGAATGAACAGATTTTGAAAATGTCGCTTTTGTATTAGGTTCTTATGACACGACAGGATTTCGGGTTTTCTGAATATTTCTCGGCCGACCATCAGTTGAAGCACCCAAAAAGCTTGGGAATGTCTTCCTTGATCTCTACTGGTGCGTAATACTAGCCAAGGTATTGAACAATCTATAAAGATGGCGTTATTATAATCATTAAGTAGTGGACTAGCCATAACGGCGAAAGCAGTTCAGCCAAAATCGCTCAGGGCGGCATATATAGTCAATTGGCGAAGAACGAACATGTAACTCGAGCCCTCCAACCAAAGGGCCATAAGCTTCTAGGCAATATTCTGCGCTCTCGCATGCTGTTGAGTCAAGGAATAAGTTCCATCTCAAGAGTTAGTTCATTTGCATACTTTTGGATTACTTCTGTGGCAAGCTGACGGATTCTGCTAATTCTTCTCTTTTGCTAACCCAATTGTATCTGGCATGCGGGAGCTTGCTAGTATATGTCGCTATCCGTCTTGGCCTTCCCGCCTACTGATTATGCATTACAGCTCATCATTTTAAAACCATCTTGTTTGACCGCATTTGTCACTGCATCATATAGTTGAACATAGCTTTGTTTAGGAAATATCTGTCCATCGAACTACAAATGTGTTATTGCTTTCTTGATGTGCTACATACTTCAAGACAGCACAGTACAAATGAGCCGACCACACTCCTTGTTGAAATTGCAAATTGAAAGAGAAAGAGGTGCATGCATATGTCTACACCGTTGAATTTGGTGGGTCCACTTGATCAAGATAGGGCCACAAATTCTATGATTCAAATGACATCCGGGTCCATGGAATAAATTTCCCTCCCCTCGTAAGATTCCAGAGAGACGGAGAAAGAGGAAGAGGGCAATGAATAAATAGGAACTCATTGAGGCTTTTCCTTCCGTGATCAGCATGCCACCTTGTTTTGATTTTGCAGTGCAATCCGGGAAAAAACCTAAGTAGCAGTGACCTCTGACCGAGAAACGGAGCGTCATTCACTTACTATCGTCGCCAAATGGTAATCCTTAACCATATTTTCATCGACCGGCGGCGGCACTGACAATCTCCGGCGTCTCTTCCTCCCTCGAGATGAAGTTGAAATTTCTTCATTACTGCTATAGTTCGTCCTGAAAATTATTCCCTAACTTTGGTCCGAGAGTGTTTTCCAGAGGTTGATTACTAGATGAGTGACAGTTTGCGTTGCCAGATAATTTCAAGTATTTGCACTAGATGGTTAACTGAGAGGACTTACATTAGAATTCATGTGGAACTACTTTCGCCCCTCACGGCCGACGAAACTTGCAAATCTAGTTGTCTAGCAAATAATCACGGGTGATTGATTAGCAGCAACATTGATTCTAAGCAGTTCTCACACAAATTTTTTTTCATATTAAATGCCAAAATAGAGCGAATAATCCTCGGCATCTGAACTGAAATGCATTACAGCATTTTAGTCAATGTGTGCACCGCGTTTGTCTTGAGTTTCGCGGAATGATTGTTGTTTAGTCTTGATTGGTTAACATTGCGCTTTCGACAATGAAAACAGATTGTCCAAGCATGTTATGGAAAAGGAAACACATGCATTTCACATTTTTGGGTCGTACAGACTGAATTATTGGCAATCACACAGCTTTCTGAGGCTCAAATTCTCAAAAATCTGCAACAGAGCTTCAAAGTCATCTCTTTGACATGTCCATTTCATGCAAACTATCAATGTGGCATTTTGTAAGTTGTTGAAGGCGAGAGAGAGAGAGAGAGAGAGAGAGAGAGAGAGAGAGAGAGAGAGAGAGAGAGAGAGAGAGAGTCATCTGTATCAAGAATCCATTAAATATTTTTCATGAATGCCTTGCGGACTTCATCATTTGTAGGCAGTGACAAAACTAGCGAAAAAAATTGCGAAAACGACCGCTTAGATTAAATTGATCCCACCATTCCGAGGGAATCTATTTCCTATCCTATGAAGAAAAAATTGAGCATGATATGGTTGGACTTTTGAGATTTTTTCCTTTTACTCTTGACCTATTCACTCACTCTTCTGTACAGTTTGACTCCCATCTGGGATGAGACTTGTTGATCTGAATCTTCCCCTCTCTCTCTCCGTCTCTCTGAGCTTGTCTTGACCGAAAAAGAACAGAGGAATTGATCTCTTCTTGTAGGAAGACTTTGGCTTGTCTCTCCTTATTATCTTCACTGCCAAGTGATCCTTTTCTGGCAAGTAGATTGTTTTCCCATTGCTTGAATATTATGCATTGGATTATTTTTCTGGAGCAATATTTTCATGTACTGTTTTTTTTTTTCTCTTTTCACGACTTCTGATATAATCTGATGGGCAATCCATTCTGGGGAAGAGCAAATGGCCCATACTGAATTCCATTCTGTGAACCCATTATACACCACCTGCACAGCAACATAAACAAACAAAAAGCCCATGTCAGATTTTCTGTATTATTTAAAGTAACTGAGCCTCTCTCTCTCTCTCTTTCAGAGTACTGTGTAAAAATATTTGGATTGACTAACCTGTACTTGGTGGTCAGATGATGGAGAAGCACCAAAATCTCCAATTTGGCCAACTCATTCCCTGGGCATGAGTGGATTCCATTTCCAAATGGCAAGAAGGTGTTGGGTTTTGGAGCAACCTGTTCAGTGGTTAAAAAGAATAACAATGATTAGATGTTGTTCAATGACTGTTGTTTTTCCTTTTGTTTCGGGGGGTCAAAAAATTCTTGAACAGGTCATGTACGTCACTGTCAAAGAACATTACCTCGAATCTAGAGGGGTCAAATTTCTCAGGCTCTGGGAAGTTTTCCGGGCTGTGGTGAATGTTCCTGAAGAGGGGCAAGACTTTCCAGCCCTTTGGTATGAGATACCCTGCAGAAAAAACAGGGGGAAAAAACAAATTTTCTTTAGCATTTGCAAGTAGATAAATGTTTAATAATCTAACTGTACGGTCCAAGTGTTGAAGTATCTCACTACTCACCATCATATTCAACATCCTCAACAGCTTCTCTGAAGGTGAAAGATAGAATGGAGGCGACTCTGAGTGTCTCTTGGATGACCCTTGAAGTCATCGGCATGTTCTTGGTGTCTGCCCAAGTCAAAACGTTCTCTTCACCGCTCTTTTCTTTGTTGCTCTTTATGGCTTCTTGCTCCTCCTGTAAAGCCACAAACGCAAGCATAAACAAATGCTTTTTTTGAATAGTGAAATTATTAAACAATTGCTCATTTTTATATATTATTTCTCCATGCGTTACAGCTTGTGTGCCCTGTGAAAACTATAGTTGTATATTCAGCATGATTGAGAGATTTTTCCTCTGCCTATGCTTCCTCTCGCATAATTGTGGGTCTCATCTATATTCGAGGTGTAGGTGGACCGCATGAATATGGTAATAAAAATTTTTCCCACGAGGGAGATTTACCGTGACGGCCTCGAGGATGCTCGGGTTCTCGCCGAGGTACTTGACGATCCAGGTCAGGACGCTGGCGGTGGTGTCGCGGGCAGCGAAGATGACGCCGATGATGTTGTCAGCGATCTGCTCGTCGGTGAGGCCCTCCTTGTCGCCCATGAAGGACCCGAGCAGGTCGTTGTGGTCGAGCTTCATCTGCCGCCGAGTGACCAGGATCTTGGCCAAGATCTGAGCCAGCTCCTTCCTGGCCTTCATGGACTTGTGGAACAGGGTGCCCGGGAGGTTGATGGGCATTGAATTGTACCCCTTCTCGAGCACGTAGTAGCACTTCTTGAGATCCTCTCTGTACTTGATCTCGTCCTTTCCGAAAATGGAAAGTAGCGCGACGTTGAACGCGTACTGCAAAGATAACAAGTTCGATCAGTCCCGAGACTCCTAAAAAGACGCAGCATCTTACTTTTCCGCTATATCCAAAAATGTTCTGTTTCCACAAAAGGTAATCATAGGTTGCCACGTCTTTGTGTACGTACGAATTCACGTGCGGAAAGATGGAAGATACTGTCTTGATACTGTTATGAGAAAGTTCACTGTTCGTTCACCGTAATTATACCAAACAATAATTTATTAATTTGAGGAAATTCTTTTTTTAAAATTTGAGGAGATTGAATCGCTCTGTTTTCGTGGAAAAACAAAGGAAACCCATTTTTTTTTCTCTCCTCCCTTTTGCGCCGACCAAAATCGACGACGCCGCGAAAGGCGACCGGAAAACCGAAGGATCAGAAGAAGAAGAAGCTCACCGTTTTCATTTCTTGGAAAGTGTTGACCAATCTTCCTTCCCAGGACTGGAGGGAATCGACGGCGAGCGACTCGATGTCGGGGACTCTGCTCCTGATGGCCTCGGGCATGAAGGCTCGGAGGACGAGCTTCCGCAGCTTGCCGTGGTAGTCCCCTTGGTGGAAGAAGATGGCCTGCTTGCCCAGCATCCTCTCCTTGCTCGCCGGGAATGTGGGCTTGAACAGGTCCGACTTCGTCACCAGGACGAACTTCGCCGCCTCCGGGCTCGATATCATCACGCAGGGGCACCCCAGTATGTGAGTCTTGAATATCGAACCGTACCTGCCGAAATTACGAAGAAAATCCCCCCAAAAAAAAAAAAATTCAGGAAACGCGAAAAACCCAATTCCGGTAACTTTCGAGCATGCTGCGAATTCGGAGCGAGTGCTGTTTTTTTATTTATTAAATTTTTTTTTTCTGGCCGGACCTGCTCTGTTTCTTGGCGAAGAAGACGTTGGGGTCCTGGGAGTAGAGCTGGAAGGTCTCGCCGAGGTAGGGCCACCCGAGGGTGCCCGGCGGGAGGGGGAGCCTCCGGCGAGCGGAGGCGAGGAGGCGGCGGGCGCAGCGGAGGAGGGAGGCGGCGAGGACCGCGAGGACGGCGGAGAAGAGGATGGTGGCCAATTCCATGCTCTGTTTTTCTCTCGACTGAAACAGAGGATGAGGGAATCGATATTGGTTCTCTTCTCTGTGTTTGAGGAGGAGGAGGAGGAGGAGGAGGGAATGGTTTGGTGTGAGGAGAGTAAGCGGAGGAGGAGGGGGTATTTATAGGCTTTTTCTTCAGAGAGAGAGAAGAGAAGAGAAGAGAAGAGAAGAGGAGAGGAGAGAGAGAGAAACCTTTCACTGTCAGCTCCAGCTTCACATACGGAAGCTCCCTCCAGCTAATTCTGGGTGTGTGCTCCCCATAAAATGTGTATTATATTGAAGATTTTACATAAGGTACACCGATATGGAAAATTTTTCACCTGTTAGTAAAAGGAATATGGCTACCAAAATCGAGATTTGTTCGTGTGTCGGTACCTAAATCCTAGTGTAACGGTTAAAATCCTTCCGTTAATTCGAGTCAAGAGTCGACTATTTAGTAATTAACACGGTAAAGAGAATCGAAACCAAATGCATTGAGAATTCTGCATACACGAGGCTCGTATCTTTGTGAGTTCGATCTGTTGACGGTTTCGCGTTCCAATCGATGCTATCCAATCGCTATTGACAATTGAACTTCCGTCCCTTCGATTCATCTAAGGCAAAAGACAAATGATGTCCCCCTCCCCCCTCCAATCTCATGGGCATGAACGAGTGGAGTGGATGTAACTTTTGGAGCTATCCAAAATCGTTAAAACGTTGCTGGGGTCGATCATCATCGAATGATCCAAACCGCAGAGAGAGACAGAGAGAGAGAGCTTGCGCTTGAGCTTGTGTCAGCACCGATGGCAAAAAGTAAGGGGTGTTGACCGTGAGGGCGACTGGCGCCTAGTGGATCAAGAAAGGGCGGAAGGAAACCGGAAACAGCCCTTCGGTTTTGGCCACAGCCAGAGGGGGAGTTTTCCAAGTCTACGACTAGATGAATTTAATCGATATCTTTTGCAGTCCACATCTCCAACCTAGCATGAGCCCCCTAGAGGGGTGTAAGAGGGGGCTCTACTCGTCCTCCTGTTCCTAGGCATTTTTTGAATCCGATACCACTTGCTCCTGTTGACCAAAACAGTTCGGATGGTATTGGTATTGGGGACATGATGCTGCCTTCCTTTCTTCTTTTCTGTTTTTTTGAATTGATTGATCCGTCCATCTTCTGGTTTTTGGACTTATGTTGGAGGTACTTAAAAATGTTTCAGTCTCTTTTGTTTTGCGCATCATGATGTTACATGTCGAATCTGTTCGTGAATTCTTTGGCATCGAATTTTATAGATCCTGAATTCGAACGGGCAATCTCAGATCGCAAAACCCTTTCTTCAAAGAAAGCCGTTGGCAAAGACACTATTGGAAGATACGGGTTTGCACAGGGGCAAAGATCGCATCATGTGATTTGAGGGTTTGATTTTTTTTTTCCAGCACGCTTAAATTGAGAATATCAATTATTGGTGCTGTAGAAATTTAGGGATGTCATATTAGTTTTCAAAATCTAGATTTCTCTATAGGCATAATTATCAAAACATTCTTATTCTGAATCACAAAAATAAGAACACAGATCCTCTTGGACGATATCTTGTTCCCTTACTTCTTTCTTTTCCAACATTCCCAGATAGCGCTATTTACCACTCTGCTATTGAATCCAGTCATGCCGCACATGTATTTTGTCGTAATTCTTGTACAAAGTAGTCATTCGACATTTGAAGCTATGCAATGAACAATCAAGATCCATTTATTCATTAGAATCGCTTATGACGAAGAATAATTGAGATAGGTAGAGAAGCCTCTATCTGCTAAAGGCTCGTGTACTGGCAACGTAGCGCTTGGCTTGAGTTGTGACTATTGGATTCTAGGCTTTTCTTGTGAGTGTTCAATTTCATCAGGAGTTTTTCCAAATTTGTTAGCATAGTTTTATAATATGAATGAATATAAATCTTGAAAAATTTGGTCGCTAACTGCATTTTCTTGCGAGAAAAGTTTAATTTATTCCTGTAATTTAAGAGAATCCCAATCCTCACGACGATTGTTTCGTGAGGAGTGATCTTTCCGCCTGATAATCAAATATTTAGCCCTCCCTACATCATTCGAACGAAGCGAAATCAATCAAGAGTTTTTCAAATTTGTTAAAATAATTTTATAATATGAATGAATCTAAATCTTGAAAAATTTGCTTGCTGACTGGATTTTCTTGCGAGATAAGTTTAATTTATCCTTATAATTTAAGAGAATACCGATCCTCACGACGAACCATTTCGTGGAGAGTGATCCTTCCGCATGATAATCAATAATTTAGTTCTCACTACATCGTTCAAACGAAGCGAAATCAAAAATGGCGACCCCGTCGTATTTCTTCCTTGGACACTCGTCATTCGTCATGTGCGTATCTTCGGTTGATCAAATCATTCCCGCTTCTTCTACGTCATTAGGGTTTTACCATTCTAACAAGATCTTGAATGTCGTGCGCATCTTCTACGTCATTAGGGTTTTACCATTCTAACAAGATCTTGAATGTCGTGCGCAAATTGACTTATTCTTCTTCTTCCTCATCCTTTTACTCCCTCTAAATTCGTTTTCGCGCCTGCCAAGTTTTCTCCATCTGGTGAAGCATTCTTCTTCGACAGAGAGATTATGTAGCATTCAAGCGTAACACGTGGCGAATGACTCACCAACACACGATCTCCTAAGAAGTAATCAAAGAAATTTCATAAACCATGAAGAAAGAGTAAAAGGGCTACGTTCAAAAAGATTGTGTTGACCTTTGATGAGTAGTTTAATCTGAGATTGATATAGATATCCATCCATATGTGCTCACGCCAACGAGTCACTTACATGCCTTCCCCATCAATATGTATTTGATAATGTACGTAGGTCGTAATTTGCCATTACTTTGTTGGAGTGTCTAACCAAAAGTCGATTTTCTTATTTCTTTTCTAAGTTTCAATCCATGTGTAATCTTTCCAACCAGATAAAAACCCGAAAATTAACCGGTTCATGGACTTGTGGGGTGTTTCTTGAGGTTCCAGGTAGCCGGTCTCTACCCTTATGTCTCTAAATTATAATAAAATTGAAATAAAAATGAATATGAATGGTATTTAAATTTGATATCTGGTAATCAAAAGACTTGTTGTAGGATGGGAGAAAATTTTAGCGAGGAGATTATCCAATCAGCCCTAAGCTCATTGTACATATACTAATTCAACCATAAACTTTTCAATTTTGCCAATTGATTCATAAATTTTTATCCGAGTGTAGTCCTTCCGGTCAATTTTAATTGGAAATCGTTGACGTGGCGGTATGCTAAGTAGGACGGCCATCGATGACTCAACCATCACGTCAAAGATTTCTGGCGAAAATTGACTAGGAGTATTACATTGGTATTTCGCGCAAAAGTTTAGAACAAAATTGACAAAATTGGGGAGTTTAAGATTGAATTTGAATCCGTACAATAAGCTTATGACTGATTGACTAATTTTCCAATAACTTCACTTAATTATACATGAAATGGCAAGACCATTTGCTCAATACACCTATACTACAGCATATAAGTTGCCTGCGTTCGTTCTCATGCATAAACGTGTTCATGCCTTAGATGTGATTCCACCGTTAGTTGTATCATAGAAAACGAGCAGACAGGGTTCGATGAACTATATATGTACCAAATTGAAGTACTGTTACCATGACCCTTTATTGAGATTTGCCAGCTCTTGTTAGTTAGCATATGAAAAATAATGGACGTGGGTCCCCTGACCCGAACGATACTTTCATGAATCTCTCGACATATCTCAATCGTGATTTGTGTACCTTATTTACATACAATCTATTGAGACATTAATAGAAAGGCCGCACAAGATAGAGAATCCTCACTCACTTATCGTAAGAACCACACATTGAAATACTGAAAGTGCAGATTGAGCTATGGAGACACTATTTTCACACCTATGTCCATCTCTTGTTACCATCTTATCGACCATTGGATTGGTACCGCATCTACACCAAACACCCCCACGTAATAACCCATCTCCCTCTCTCTCTAAACGATCACTTCCTGCACTCGCCGGATTGGGCATGGACCTAGTTCATCCATGCGGGAGGGAGTCCTATTTTGAGACTGTCTGCAACGACTTATCGGTCCGTTCGGGTTCACGTGGCCAAGCCCTTAAAACAAATACTTTGAGTAACCACATGAGATGGAACCATTTGGGAGTCATTGAGTCAGTAATGGCGTATCTACACATCAAGCTACGTGCTTGTATTTGATGACTTGTCGAGGCATAAGTCATTAATGATCATAAATTCAGGTTGCGACCAAAGAGCGCTGACCAAGGACCATGAAAGGAGAAGTCCCCATTTTCCTAATATACTCAAACACGCAATCAATTGATGGATTTGGTCGGACCATCTAGAATTAGACGACTCCTCCTCCTCCTCCGGTGATTATTCCTAATCAACTATCTTTGAAACACTATTTTTCGCAAGGACGATAGTCATGGAAACCCCAAAATCAAAACAATCAGAGAAAAAGCCCCAAAAATTCAAATGAGAATGAACATTTTGCAAAAGACCCAAAAAGTTACAGCTTGTCCCTCGTACCGACTTGAGCAAACAAAGATCCATCCTACCCTTTTCGATCATGACGACGCACTGACCCCAGAACCAGACGAAAGAGGCCAAAAACCCATCAATGTCGATGACAACAAGGTGCGTGTTGCGAAGAAGGGAAGCTTCGGGATCGGGGAGATGGGTGAGAGAAGGATGACGAGTTTTCAAAAAGGCAACCTTTTGCAATTTAATGGGGACAGAAAAGTTGGAGAATGGGGTAGCATACCATTCAAGAGAGGGAGTCCCGAAGTAGACACTCACACACACACACACACAAACGACGCACATAATACGCGGGACGACGGATTTTGGAGCGTAGTTCCGAAGGTGGTGGGGCTAAGGGTGACGACGTTTTGGGAGCGGTTCGCTTTGTAGGTATTTGGCCAAGAAGTGATAAAGTCTCTATGCAACACGCGTCGTCTGCATGGTAGGGACACGACCATGCAAGTTGGGTTTTTTTCCTCCTTTGAATGGGTATAAC